GTGTTTTGTTTTTTTTTTTTGGTAACAGCTTGTTCTTTTCAGAAGAGACAATCTGATGACATTTCCGTTTCCTTAATATTTATACAAGTACCGGTAATTTTGGCATTTTACGTGTCTCTAGGAACTTTTGTGCCTCATCCAAATTTTCTAATTTACTATCCATATGGTGGTTTTCTTAATATTTTGTTCCAATGCTGTTTCATGGAGTTTCCTACAATGAGAGTGATGAAGTGAGATCTGGGCGCGTCAATACTTTTCAAGCACACTGTCCCCCTCTCTGAGTAGGGTAATTCTGTCTGGGATGTACTCTCCCATGACTAGTCTAGCATCCTACCCTTGCCTGGCCTGGTCCTTTTGTGGTCCTCCCTAGCTGCCCTCTAGTTTGCCTTATCAAACCCAGGTTAGGCATGCTCCTGGATGGTGCTGCCCGTGGTTAACCACTAAAAGGGGTAAAAGAGAACTCTAAAGGGTACAGAGCAAAAGAAGTAGCCATTTCCTGCTTAACAGGTCCAGGATTTCCTTTTGGGGTGAAGAAAGGATCTGAAACTCGGTTGTGGTATTGGATGCACATCATTGTGAAGGCACTTAATGCCACTGAATTGTACACTTTAGAACAGTTCAGACGGTAAATTTTGTTGTATTTTATCACTATAGAAAAGATTAATCTCAGACCTGGGGCAAGAGCCTCCTCTGAGTTTCGAAGTTCTTTATCTGTTTCCTTTTTCCTCAGCTCCAGGGTTAGTCGTGCCCTTTGCATTTATTATTTCTTTTTAATTTTTTATTGTGATAAACATGAAATTTACTATCTTAGCTGTTTCAAAGTTTACAATTTAGTAGCATTAAATACTTTCATAATGTTGTATAGCCATCACCATGACCTAGTTCTTGAACTTTTCATCACCCAAAAGGAAATCCTGTGCGCATTGAGCATCTATTTACTACTTTTGCCCTGAGGAGAGAGTGGGGTTGTCACAGGAGCATGTTGCCTACTTCTGTGGGGAAGAAACTGGCTTCTGCTGAGAGCTAACAGCTGCCACTAATGTGGTGACAAAGACACTGACTGGAGCTGTATTAGTTTCCTAGGGCTGCCGTAACAAATTACCACAAACCGTGTGGCTTAAAACAACAGAAATTTATTCTCTCACAGTTCTGGAGGTTATGTCTGAAATCAAGGTGTTGATTCTCTTGTGGGGCCTCTGAGAGACTCTGTTTCATGCCTCTCTCCTAACTCCTGGTGGTTGCAGTTCTCAGTGTTCCCCAGCTTGTGGCAGTTTAACTCCAGTTTTTGCCCCGGTCTTCAGAGGGTTGTCTTTTCTGTGTGTATGTCTCTGTTTTCTCTTCTTATAAGAACATGAGTCATTGGATGAGGGACCACCCTTCTCTAGTGTGACTTTATTTTAATTACATCTCCAAAGACCCTATTTCCAAATAAGGTCACATTCACAGGTCCTGGAGGGTAGAACATGAACACGTCTTTTTGGGGAGACACAATTCAACCCACAACAGGAGCCATCACCAAGGTGTTGGCGGAGAAACGAGCACTGAACAGGGAACTCCTCAGATTGATCTGTTTACTTGGAGAAAAAAAATACCTTTTTCCTTTTCCAGCCTTGCAGTGTGCCTCAAGCACCCTCTATTGCAGCAGTTCTCAACCTTCCTAATGCCGCGACCCCTTAATACAGTTCCTCATGTTGTGGTGATCCCCAACTATAAAATTATTTTCGTTGCTACTCTATAACTGTCACTTTGCTACTGTTATGAATCATAATGAAAATATCATTTTGTTTTCCGATGGTCTGAAGCGACCCCTGTGAAAGGGTCGTTCGACCCCCAAAGGGGTCACGACCCACAGGTTGAGAACCACTGCTATTGGCAGAGTTTAACATCTAGCCAGGCAATGGGGAAATGCAGCCTGCAGAGTACAGCTCCCCAGAGCAAGGAATGGTTAGTTTGCAGCTCAGAGGCAATACGTTAATAACAGCCACAGACCAAAGTTCTGTCTGCTTTGAAGTGAGCCTCCCCTATGCTAGCTTGATCTTGACTATGAAGGTTGAAATCAGCTGTGGGGCTTTGACTTAGAAAGGGAAGAGTCCGAATAGCGGAAACACTTAGGCTAAGTCCTGCAGAATATAGGGGGGTGGCACAGCAGGACAGAGGTGATAATTTAGGCAGAGGGACCAGTATGAGCAAAAGCAGAGTATGTGAGACACTAGATTGTCACAGAATCCTGAAAGCCAGGCTAAAGTACGAGTATTTGAACTCTGATCTGAGGGTGAACTTGGATAAGAGTAACATGACCAAATTTGTAATGTAGAAAATATCCTTTCTCTCAAGGCAGCAGGGGCACGTCTTCCATGTGGGAAAGAGAGCCCTGAACAGATTGCAAGGAGCTTCTAGAAGAGGAGCTTGCATGGAGGAAGTAGACTGGGAAGCCTGCATAACTGAAAAGCTTCGTGGAAGACAAGGTTCAATGAGAATCATCAAATGTTTCATATATGGGAACGACATGATCCAATGTGGAGATGGCTGGCATCCCAAGCATAACATGTCTCAAATGAATGCATCATCCTACACTGAATGTCTACTTTACTTCTGTGTTCTTTATTTTAGGGATGGCATGGGGTTGTCCAATCCGGAAACCTGGGCATTATCATGACTCATTCTTCTCCACTCCTTCAGAAATAATGACTAAATACTGCCCATTTTGCTTCATAAACTTGTCTCAACTTTTCTCCATTCTCAGCACTCCATTGAAACAGGCCTGTAGCATCTCTTGCTTGAATTCTTATAACTGTCTCTTAATAGTCTTGAAATTTTCTAACTTGTGTTCTCAGACAGAGTAATTGTCCAGAAATGCAAATCTTAAGGTGTCACTTTAATACTTAAAAATTCCACACTGCCTTTCTGTTGCTCTTAGGATAGAGAGCAACTTCTTCAACATGGAAATAAAATGACCCCTCACCATCTGGCTTTTTCCAGTTTTATCTCCTCCACTCCTCATCCCTACCCCCAGTCATATGGGCTATCTTTTATTTCTTGAAAAGCTTCATGTTTTTTTCTTGCCTACATCTCTTTTCTCTTCTTGATACTTACTTCACAATTCCCTTATCCCCAAACTCCTCCCTTCCCACCCCTCAAGTCATCTTCTATGTGTCCTTCAAAGTCAGTTTAGATCTTATTTCCTCCTGGAACTGACCTTAAGGACTAACCCTGACTCTAATAATTTCAGGTTAGGCTACTCTCCTATATGTTTCCATTAATTCTATATCGCTTTCTTTCATATATACTGGGGGTGCCAAAAAAATGTACACATTTTAAGAGATGTCATCTATGTATTGCTTTCTGAAGTTGAATTGAATTATGTTAGCAATGTGTAGTATGATGTTCGCTCAAAAGATGGTGTTAACCAAATGAATGCTAGCGTCATTCATTGTATCACAATTTTAATAAAATGTTTTCCTTTCTTAAAATGTGTATACATTTTTTTGGCACCCTCTATGTGTGTGTGTGTGTGTGTGTGTGTATATATATATATATATATATATAGTGTATGATATATACTATATAATTTTATGTATCTCTTTACCTTGTTTTTCATTTTATTAAAAGAATTTATTATATTTTAAAGTTTATTTGCTTGTTTATTGTCTGTCATCCTTCACTAGAATATATGCTCCCTGGGATCAAGAACCTTGCCTACCTTGCTCAGCACTCTGTCCCCAGTGTCTACAACAGTGCCTAGCTCATAGTAGAGACTCAATAAATGTTTACTGAATGATAGAAACAATATTTTTGAGGCAAAGATCTCCACGTTATGGGCCAGCCGAGTGGCACGTTGGTTAAGAGCTGGCTTGGGACGCCAGAGGGCCCTGGTTGGGATCCCACATATGAGGGCCAGTGACGCTGCCCTCCACAGCTAAGATGCTGAACAACAGCTCAACCTGGAGCTGGGCTGCCGTGAGTCACCAGCGACGGTGTAGGCTGCAGCCCCTGTGGCAGTGGGTTGTCATGGGCTACCGTATGTAGTCAGCAGCCAGCGTGAGTGGCCAACAGTCGCAGTGAGCGGCTGTCCAGAAGCCAGCAACTGATCTGCCTTGCCAGGGAAGAGCGCAATGATGGTGCCAACTTGAGCCAGTGAAGCAATGTCCTCCACAACAAGACTGAAGAACAAAAGGACAGCAACTTGTCTGTTCCGCTTTCCCCAATTCCCCAGAGCTGTTCCCATCCCCCAATTTCCCAATAAAAAATATCTTTAAAAAAAAATCTCCACGTTGCTGAATAGTTCCATGCAATATTTGGGACATAATTATACTAGAAATTATTTGCTGTTTATCTGAAATTCAAATTGAACTGAAGCGACCTGTATTTTTTCTAGCAACCCTACCCCCAGAACATAATTTGGTAATATCTGGAGACCTTTTTGATTGTCACTACTTGGGTGGTAGTATAGAGGGCAGGGATGCTGCTAAACATCTTACAATGCATGGGACAGTCCCTACAAAGGAAGGAATTATCCCGTCCAAAATGCAATAGCGTGGAGGCAGAGAAACCCTGAACTAGATGACCATGAAATTTAAGGGCCCCCGGCAGGTAAACAGAGCCTAGAGTCTCCAAATTCACTTTCTTTTTGGAGAGGCAGCATGGGGTTAGTGAGAGGAAGGCGTCTGGGGCTGGAGACCCGGCTTTAAAACCCTGTGCACACATCTTGACGCTGATAACCTGAGGGCAAGAGAGCCAGACTACCAATTGCAGCAGGTGAAATCATGATGTCGAAAAAATAGCGTGTGAACGGTATTGTGGACCGAAAAACGCTCTGCATACACCGGTTAAGGTGCCTTTGGACTAAGGACAAATCCACCGGCCACTGGGATTAAGGCGTTCAGTGACTTACTCTTTGCGGCCGGGTGGTTCAGGCGTCCTTTTCCCTAGCAACGGTCGTGAAGGAAGTGGTTGCTGCAGCCGCGCCCCGTGCGCCTGCGCAAAGGCGCCTCCTGCTGACGTGGACCTGGGCCCCACCGCTAAGCCCGGCACGCCGCGGCGTGCAGGAGAGCTGCTGGGGTGGCGGAGCCGCGGCCACGGCCGGGATGGTGGCGCTGCTCGCTCTGCGCCGAGGAGCTGGGGCTGCGGGCCGGCGCTGGTTTGTGCTGCTACCGCCTCTGCTGCTGGCACTGCTGCTGGCGCGGCCCGCGGGGGCCCTGGTGGAGGGGCTGTATTGCGGCATGCGAGACTGCTACGAGGTGCTGGGCGTGAGCCGCACGGCGGGCAAGGCGGAGATCGCTCGTGCCTACCGCCAGCTCGCCCGGCGCTACCACCCCGACCGCTATCGTCCAGAGCCCGGCGATGAGGGCCCGGAGTGGACGCTGCAGAGCGCCGAGGAGGCCTTCCTGTTGGTGGCAACCGCCTACGAGACTCTCAAGGTGAGGCCTGGGGGCGCAGGTAGGCAGCGAGGACCCACCGGGGAAACGCGCAGCGTGGCGCCCTCGGTTCCCAGCCCCGCGGAACGAGGTTCTCTGTGACATCCTGCGCCGGGCACGGCTACCAACACAACCCTTAGGATGATCGCACTTTCTCACGTAGCCCAGTGTAAGAGCTCACATGGGCCATTGACAAAGTCCGCCCCCTCGGGTTTTGGAGGACAGCCAGCCCCCTCCTTTTTGTGACAGTCCTTGTCATGCAAGGCATAACAAATGTTGGGCATCTTACGATTTAGTTAAAGCGTTTCAATAATGTGCAGGTCACATTCGAAAAAGATGGTGATTATTATTACCAGGATCCGTGGGTAGAGCACAGGAAAGGTCTTCAAAATTGAGTAACGGTGATAGCGCCGGTTTTGCATGACAGAAAATTGGTTTCTGGGGATGGTGTTAATTGTGACATTTAGGTTGGGTTTAAGGATGTAGAGAAACATTAAGGACAGCGAACAACCAGTCAGAAGAGCGGATGTTTGACTCTTGGCCCTGACACCCCCGTATGACCTTGGATAGTGACTTAGTATGGTCCGAGTAGCTTTCTTCATATGCAAAATTAAGGCCATGAAACCTCCTCACAGGGTTTTTATGAGGATTAAATAAGTGTGAGAAAACCACTATTAGGACCTCTAAATAGTTGCTTGATGACTTGGGGTTCAAGACTAATTTCTAATAGGAAATTTTTGTGAATATGTGTGTAGTCATTTGACAAATGTTTTGAGTCATTTGGGGATGGGAAGATGTACCTGATCCTGTTTTCTTCTACTGTTGTAAAAATAAAACCATATAAGAAATCACAAAGTATAAATCATATTTGATGGAAGTGTTACTGCTTCAGTGGCCCCTTCATGCCAATATAACAGCAATTGCAGTTGTTTGGTATTTCTTTCTAGCCTTTTTTTTTTTAGGCCAAGTTTTTACATGTTGCTGTATAGTCTGCTTTTAATGACTACTTTGAGTGGGCGTACTATAATTTAACCATGGATTATTTTTCCAGATCAGCTTTCCAGAGCTGAAAATACTGAGTTAAGGAGTGAAAGGCTCTAAATTCGTGCTTCCCAGACCAGTTTGGATAATAAGGAGTCATAAAATGAGCGTGCCTCGTTCACTAAATTCTCGCTAGCATTTGTGGGATTATAATTTTTGTTGACAATTAACTGAGGAATGGGTTGGGGGTCGGGCTGGCAAAGTGCTGAGGCTAGCCAGCTTAGTTGCCTATTGTTTTGGGTAAAGAGTAATTAAGGAAAGAAGACTTCAGAAAGAACTTCTCCATCCAGGGCAGCCCAGCATCTGAAGCCCCAGTCTGTTTTTCTGCAGTGAGTGAAGACAGTGGTCCAAACAAGCAACCAGAAGGCCTGCTGCTGGTCCTCCAAAGCCCTGGTGGCATATAAGGAAGTGTAGTCCGTGGTCACAAAGGGAGGCCACGCGACCAGAACATCTCCCAGCCAGTAAGCAACAGTGAGCGGACAGAACCATAATCGCAGGAGCGAGAAGCGGGCCCAGGGAAAGTTCCTAAAGTCGCGCATGCACAGGAGTGAAAAGAGCTGGCCTGTAGTTAACTTTTCCTCATTTTCATAGTAAAAGCACTCCTCTAGGCGGAGATTTAAGATGCTAATGAGACATGTGATGCATGAAGTAGTATGTAGGTACACTGCGCAGGTGTGGTGTAGGACGCCTCAACATACTTTGGGGAGGGCAAAGAGAAAGAGGAAGGTGTGGCCTCCAACCCCAAGAGCCTATAAAACCGCTATACCTATAAACTTCAGGAAGCCACATCATTCTCTTTTGGAGTGTGCTCCCTGGGTGCATCAAGCTTTCTCTCTAATAAACCTTTCTGTCTGCAAACTGTTTTGGCCCACTCTCTTGATTTCTGTCCTGAGAGGGGCAAGGACACCTGCGCTGGTAACATCTCTGGTGACTCACCTGCGACCCCTCTTCTGGAATTGAGGGGACAACCGTGCTGGGTGACTTTTTCTCCTGACTCCCGGCCTGTTCGAACTTAACTTCTCCTACCTCAATTCCTTACGTATCTCTGACTCCTCTTTTCTTCCTAGCCCTCTTTGGGTGGCTAGATCCTGGTTTCTGTGCCTCGAAGTCCTGGTTCCTCTTCCTTTTTCCCTGATGATCTGGACATCCTGGTTGACTTCTGAGGCCCTGTTGTTAGGGTGCACCCTCTTTCCCCGGGTAAGAAGAGGTGTCCCTCTTAGAGGCGAGGCACCCAGTGCCAGTTTCTGTGGCTGTGGGGAGCTTCCCACCACCACTGGTCTGGTTTTGATATGGCCATCTATATCTCCCAACTCTTTCATCCCCTCCCTCTGTCAGCTTTCGAGCTGCCTGATTATTTTCCTTGGTTATTGACTTCTTTCTGGGGCGGAGATTTTTGCAATATGTATATTTGGCTTTCACGCCAACACTGTGGTCATCTTTGTTACAGTCATTATCTGTGGACCTCTTTGAAGTCCCATTAGAAAGCCTTTCTTGTTGATGGGACTCCCCAATGTGGGTTCTTCCTGTGTTTTGTTTGCCCCATCAGACATCTTTTGAGTTGTTTTCAGGACTTTATCCAGGACACTGGTTTCAGGAAACACTTTTGGGGTCCCTATTGTCACCTCACCTTTCTCTGTCAAAGTGCTATGGGCCAGTGTCACTTAAGCATCCTGCCCCTTTCTGATCTTGCTCTCCACAGACAGACGTCATCTGCCTGTTTGGGAACAAACTCTTCGGGACCAGGGACAATTGAGCAACTTTTTAAGTACGAAGAATAGGGGAGTCCACCCGTCTCCTGATCCACTTATAATTGGACACCAACTCTATGGTCAGAAACTTGGCAAAATTAAAACTCTTATAAGATTTTTTTAACTCTCAGTAACTTTAAAGTTCTTACAGATAATCAGAAACATAAACACAGCCACTACTGTCAGAGGCTGAAATAACTGAAGGGAAAAAAAAAAGGCGCTTTTAAAAACACAAGTGGCTAATCTCACAAGCCAGACATCCCCTTTTTCCCAGCCTCCTTAAAACTGTCAAAGGCAAATGAAAAATCTTAAGCCCTCTCTCTGTAGTTATCAGTAATTCTGTTTATGTGTATGATCTCTGATATTTGTGTTTGTCTGTATTTTATATGTGATGTTTTTGCCTCCAGATAGTATTATCAGTTTATAATGTTGAATTGGCTTGAAAAATATTAAGTGCTTATATAAAATTTAAAAACTAATAATAAAAACTGACCCAAGTACTTTTCAGGATCATGTGATCTAAGAAAATATTTGATACTAAGGCTGGTTTAAGTTTTGTTTCACCTGGGTTTAAAAAAGTAAGCTCATGTTATCTTTGTTACAAAATTTGTCAAAAAAAATAGCTTGGGTAATAATTGACTTTGAAATCTCATTAATTATTAAAAAATAAATAGATATAACTAAAATAAAAGGTTGTTAATAAAACTTTTCAGTAATAATTATGTTATAGGATATATATACACTCTTAAATGTGGTTTCCCAAATTCTTTTGGTAACTTGAAACCTTAGAGTTTTGCTAAGTTAAGTTAAATGATAAAAATTATTGAATATCTATTTTTTAAATTTTTTTTGGTTTTAGGTGTACAAAACAATGTAATAATTAGACATTTACACACACCATTCCCGTCTACTACTCCTCTGACAATGAATATCGCTGTTATCTAGGTATTTCAAAATAGCAATGCTGAAATATTATTAGATAAGTCTGAGTTCACTTACTTTTGGCTTCTTATTGCAGAGAAGCTAAAAGATAAATTAGGTTTTGTTGATGAATATATCTTGTACTTTATTAAAAATATGTTTTTAAAAAAATTATAAATATATTGCCATCAAAAAAGCCTATACTTCTAAAGATTACAAAATGTATTCCTAAATTTGCCAGTCTGAAGAGTACTAATTGTTTACTTTTTAGCAATTAAAGTTTCTAAGAGTTAAAAATTCTAATTAAGATGGAAAGAAACTGTTGGGTTGTTGGAAAAGTCATGACGCATTTTTGCAACAAAAAACATAGAAAAAAATACGTCATGACTTTTCTGACAACCCAATATATATTTTTGCTAATAGAAGAGATAAGGTATAGAGATCCATTTTTGGAGGAAATTAGAAGGAAAGTGTTTGTCCTAAAGCTGGTTATTTCTGAACAAAAAGAGGTAAACTAAAAGGGACTAGGAAAGTTATAGAATGTTCATGAAGAGAAATCTTGAAAGGGGAAATTTTATATATGGTTAAACTAAGTAAGATTAAGTAAATAAATTTGAATATTAAGAGTAAGCTGATGCAGAATTAGAGTTGAGTTTTCTCTCTCTGCTAAATAGGACAAAGTTTCTTGGACTATTGGTCTGCTACTAACATTATGAAAAAGTTTTCTGCCTAAAAAGCAAAGATTCTGTTTTATCAGAATAATTTTCTGTGTTTTATATTGTCTTAATCAGATCTTTGGTTACTTAAGAAAACTAAATCTCCAGAATAGTAAGAACTAAGTTTTGCTAATAATTATGTAAAGTTCTGTATTTAATATTTGTCACTTTGGGTAAATGAATAATTTAATATTGTTTCATAATAATGATCATGATCTTTTTGATCGAGTATGTTTGACAAACTTCCTAAGATTCAAAATCTATGGAAAGTCATTTTTTTGACCTTTGAGATTTTAAGAACTTCGGAGTTCTTAAAATTCTTTTCAGAATGATCCCTGAAGCTCCTAAAAGACTTGTTTTCTCTATAAAAAGAAAAATGAAAATAATTAGGCCTGTTTAATATGTTAAATGACACGGGAAGCATTGTCGAATAAATGATGCTTAACCTCTGATTATATGTTAGATATTAGATAGACAGTTTATTAATATAAATGTTAGAAAACTTACAGTTTTTCTGTGTCCTGAAAGCTGTGACTCTTATCATGTCCTTGAAATGTAAACACCCAGGAACTAACCA